TCGATCAGATCTTAATACGATTTCCGGTGTCACAACATTGTAAATAATTCAGTGGTGAGTATAAAATCAATGGATTTGTACTGCTTCAATTCGATAATTTATGTTTACACTGGCATTTGACGAGGCTTGAGACCTTGAGTACTGCTCTCCCCATTTATTGCTCCAGTTTACCTACCGTTGAATTTATTATCATCTCGTTTGATAAACAAAGCATTCTTTGAAGTTTATGGGAAAATGTGTATGCCATGATTCAGCCCAGCAACAGCCTGCAAACGATAAATCAAATTGTACCAAATATTATTTCGCAAACGAATTGAATTTAATTGCAAAAGCTACGTGCATTGAGATGAAAAGCGAGGAAATTCAATTAACACTCATGTTACAGTTCTGTTTCCATTTTAATTGGCCTTCGTTAAAATAGAGAATTATTTTTGATAACAAACATCCTTTGTAGTTTACCGAGCAGTCATAGCAAATGTAATGGTTTGAAATATCAATTTTAATTTCAATTTATTGACGGAACTTACGTACAAATCCGTTCTAACGTACAATTTTTTTATTTGGAGCATTCATATTGTGTATTGGGCTTCTGTTTTTTCCTTTCGAATTAGTTTTAGGAAATACAATTGAAATCGTAGTCTGTTTCAAAGATGAGTTTAAAAATTCCTAAATATATGATAGGAATAGTTCACAAAATGACAACTTAATACGTACATGATTATGATCATTAAGTACGTACGTGCGATCAAAGATGGAAATTGTATACAATTTGTATAATGTTTATGTGATGTTAACTGAGTTTTATATTTTACACAGTCCAATATCAAAGAAACTAATGATAGATCTAACAACATATGATTAATATGTTTCTGAAAATTGCCTAAGGACGTTTTTCATATTACAAGAAGTAGTACATTTGGAGGTGTAGCAGGATAAAAAAACAACAACAAACAACAACGCTCTGACGAATTCGATTTAATTATTCTCGACCGCTGTAGTAAATATTTATCACGAAAAGTTTCCAAAGTGAAAGTGGTTGCATCAGATACGTATTATTTATGTTATATATACATGGTTCCTGCTCTCCACCTTCTCTATCAACTGTAAATATTATTAGATAAGAGTTGTGATAATTTTGGGAAAACACGAATACTGCGGGCGTTCCCAAAAATACGAAGAGGATAAAAAAAACTAAATATATGTAAACTTAATAGAGGAACGTAAATAAACGCGATAAGGACTATTCCATTTGAAGACTAATTAAAACATCGTAATTGCTCAAACGACCCAAGTCGGGGACTTTAATGAAGTCACCTTTGACTGGAACCAGAAGAGCCCTCAGTCCCTTCGCTATTAAGCCAACGCAGCGAAGAGATAGTCTTTCGATAATCACGTTTCCTCCAATTATTTATCTCTCACCAAGTAACTTAATTTCAAAAACTATTGCTAATTGCAATCAACACATCATTTTAATGTAGTTTAATTCCCGAACTTATTTATAAAACTTAATTAGGAAAAACGAATTACACGATAAGAGATTTATTTGACTTCACTTCTTTTTTTTAACACTACATTTTAATGCATTTTAATTGACATTCATTCAGTGCCAACACACTCACTCAACGCAATTTGTTAAAAGAGAATTACGGGGAAATCCAAATCATCATATGTAAACTAATCCTATTTATAAGATCAAGATGAGTTCATCACAACTACAATCAACAATTTATATTTTACGTAAACACTTTCATATCATCATTTTTGTAATTAGTCAGTTAGTAGCGAGTTAGGAAAAGTACGATCGTAAAGTGTACGTTGGTATGAACAAACCGTTTGTACGTACGTGCAAACGTAGCAATATCCAACTGTAATTGTATGTAAACATTTTTATTAAAACAAATCTATATGCAATTAACACTTCTTTTTAGAATAAGTTTTCGGTGCCAAATCACTCACTCAACGTATTTTTATTGCGAAAATACTAAAGCTATCACCATTTTTAACTTGCAGTATGATGAAGATGAGTTCATTAGAAATGCAATTGAGCAAGAGCATCTAATACAATAATAAATAATGTTTTAGTTAGATTGAGGCTGAGTATTATTGAAAATCGGAAATTTGTTGACAATCCCTTTGGACTGCTGAAAAATGAACTCCTGGTATGAAATGATTCAAGTAGAAATTGGCGAGTTTCACGCTCTTTTTTTTTTATCGAATCCTCGTAATTCCCGTAGTATTTATGTCCTTGTGGACGGGAGTGCTGACCGTCTCTCCTTTCATACAACACTATTCCCGTAGTAGCGAGTAAAATCGATGTCCTGGATTGAATAGTAGTATCTCGTACTCAAATATACTAAATGCATTCTTTATTTATTACAAATAAAATTCGTATAATTATTTTTTTTCAAATTTCAAAAAATATTTGTCATCAAAATTTTTCATTTAAATAAACGTCAAATATCATTAACAAATTAAACTTAAAAAATTAAAAAGCGATACTGCCTTTCATAATCATTGTGACAGCTTGTTCAATGACGTTTTTTTGTAGTACGCGTACCTCCGTTTTTTTTTGCAAACAGTAGAAGTTGTGCGCATAATATTTCCACGTTGGCGCTGTGTGAAACTGAAACAAACAGAACCTAGTTCACAACTTTTTGTGTGTTACTAGATATTAGTACTTAACAGTGGATGCACTAGGTGAGGGTGCGGATATTAGTGGGAAGTATATAACCCGCGGCCCGGCACTTGGGAATCGCACCGGCGAATTAACATTTAAATGAAGGTTCATTCATGAACGCGTGCAGCAAATACGTTTTCCTGCTTCATTCAATTATTTCCGATCCGGCGATTTTACGTTGGAATGCTTTGTAAAACGGAGTACGTTTCGTCTCTGTTTGTAGTTATTTATTTTTGCACGTATTATTTTGGCGTGCGTTGGAAAGAGACACGTCGTTGTTGTACATAGCATCTGCTATGGTTAGAACTGGGATGACGATGGTCGTCGAGTCGAGAGGCACATGTTTGTTTTTGTGCATTGTTTATATACATTCCGTTAGGACCATAAATTATGGTGGCGGCGTGCCCGCATAAGCGCACCGAATTTTTTCATCCATTATGAAACGATTGTCTGGGCTTGCGTTCACATGATCACGTTATATTTCAATGGGCAACTGACGATAAGGATGTATATTTATATTAAACTCTTTGTGTTGATCAATTGAAGTTGGCAGGAATCAGCGGCATCGACTTAGAACTTAACTTATACCGCTCAGTTTCGTGTTATTACATTGATTAGGTCATGGAAATACCAGGCGTCTGCAAGTTTATTTATTGGACTTTGCTCCACATCTCTCGTTTACTTCTGTATAATTTAACAAATATAAATAGCATCGAAACGTACGTTACTTCAAATTATTACGTAATGTATGCATAATCATTAGGATTACTTAAACAAACTTAATTATACTTTATATTTAATCATTCTCCGTATAATTATTATTTCATTATTATTCGATTTTAGGATTTTTTTAAATTTTATTTACTATTAGTACATTTTTGTATCAATATTTATATTTCACTTGATTAAGGGTAATGTTTTCGTAGATGGTGGCAATCTTGGACATAATTGTATTTATGTTTTCAATTTCACTTATATGTATTGGACACTGTACGCAACTCAGATTGACGCAACTGGTCTTCCGGTTTTTCATTATATCCAATTTGTTTACGTTCCAATTTAATCAGTTTATTCTACTAAGCTCATGCTGTTAGTTGTATATTATACTTGTTCATTATTTGTGAGTATTTATATTTGTTTTATTAAATCTTTAATATTAGTAGTAATTTGGTCGACAACATGCGTCCACGTCCACATGCCTCCCCATTCCCTTGCATTTTCATATAAAGATAGGCGCATTATTTTTAGTAGCCCACGGGCGCCAAATATCTTAAGACGGCCCTGGACTTAGATATTTGTTTTAGAATATGTCAATAATTTAAAACGGAATATCCTGTATGTATTGTATAATTGAGGGTAGTCTTTACACAGATGGTCAGACCATATGTCATTTTGGTAATTTTATTGATGCGTGTCTTATATAATATTCCACACATGCCAATGCCAACAAAGTTTGTCACTCATTGTCGATTCTAAATATTAAATTCCTCAAGTTGTTGGAATTCTTCATTGATAATGTTTATCTAATATACAGGGACACCCTAACCACAGGGGCGCTAACCTCTAGGGGCGCCAATTTTGCATTCCCTCACATGTATTTTCTTATGGAAAGGGGCGCATTATTCTTAGTTGTTTTTCTCTTTGTGAATTTCCTTATGAAGAGCGACGCATTCTAGTATTCCAACGGCCCTGCTAATATCCATAATCAAGAATTCCAATTATATCATTTATTAACTTTTTGGTAGTTTTTTGTTTTTAAATTGAAAATTTCTCATTGTCAAGCATAAAAGAATCACATACTTGAGTGTCCCAATTTGCATATAAACTTCCTTTGCACGTTGCAGAAAATTTATTTGATTTGAACAAATTGACCTTTTGTTAGTTCTGCATTGTTATGGCAAATATCATTCATTGAAGCTTATTGCGTCTCTTCTATATAAAATTGTTGCATTGAATTTACGTCTTTAAGAATACTGAAATAGAGACTAGAAACTAAAGGTATTTCATACATTTTGTCAGTTAGCAAGGCGTAGTTGAGAAATGCTGTCGTCCTTGGGGGGTCGGGCGTAAGCTACAAAGATTTGTTATCAATGGGAAAAAGAGAAAAAAAAAGAATTAATGCGGTGAATGCTTGAGGAACCTTCACTGGGAACACAATGCTGCGCGAAGTACAAAGGTCCTACTGAAATGCATTACAGAAATTAATTTTGGTCCGGGAGAAAATGTAATTCGATTACGGAATGTGAAGTAATTGAAGTGGTTGCAAAACACTCGCTTGGTTTTTATTACGAGTGTTAACTGGAGTTTTATTTTTTTTTTTCAGGAAAGATGTTGTCTATGGGACAGGGAACTTGCGAGGTGCCGTTGGAGCTCTACGCTTTGAACAGGAGGAGGCTTTGCGACCGACTTAAGGAAAAGAATGTAGGAGACGCCATTGTTTTGCTGCAGGGAGGTGAGGAAGTGCCTTTCTACGATACTGATGTCACCTACAACGTGTTCAGACAGGTAAGAGTCTACAATCGCGTGTCTTCGTTACCATTGTTGTTGTTATTGCTACCAAAACAACGCCAGGAGGCTAGGATCGCGTGTCTTCATTACCATTGTTGTTGTTTCTACCAAACAACGCCATAACGATGTTTATGTTTACACTTTTTTTTTCTACTCAACCGCATCTCGAGTTAGATGAAGGAGTTTGACCCCAACCAAAAATATTCTAACGGCCACAATCCTTGCGGTTTTCTGTGATGATGAACATACAAGCTCTTGCATGGAGACGAAAACACGAACGCTTCAAATAATTTGCTTCTGTTTTTTTTTACTGTGTTTTCAATTTCAAGGTCCGTACCACCGAAACTAGAATTCTGAGGTGTCTGGAACTGTTCGTGTGAAATGTCTTTCGCGCCACGCCGACTCGTTTAACACTTCATGCATATCCACGTCGCAATCATTTCCCAACAAAACATACACACCTGTGTAATTCCACAAACGTTAAATTACACATTCTTCGCTGTTTCTCATTTACGCTCTCCTCCAAATATTTTTCTTTCCGAGAATCATTCCAGGAAATTACTCATAGGTTAAAGCTCATATCTGAACTGAAGTCTATAGATAAATTCATTCTGGTACAAGCTACTAAATATAGAAGTGCACACAATTGAAAACCTATATATTTTACTATAAATAGAGTATTCAACATTACTAAATATGTATTTTGTTTTTAATTGGAATCGCTTTTAATGAGAACCCAATCGATCGACCGTTTAATTAATGACAAATTATTTTGATACGTGAGATAATTAGGTCTATGCTTCGTGCCCTTTCTGAATTTTTCATTTGACCTGTACATGCTACACACGCAATTGGATAATTATCGATCAAAAACTACGTGTTTTTTTATATTTTCTTTCATCAAATTGTTCCAGATATTACAGAACGAACGCAATTATTCGATAAATGTGGTCATTATTTCAGAGATATTAATTTTGCTATGAAACGATATTCGAGCATACATATCTCCAATAACCTCATTAATTTTCAATCAAATATCCGATTTCAACATTATCATTGTATTATAATGATCGTTGTTGGAAAATCTATGAACTGTGTTGTATGTAGTTTTTAATTATCAAACTTTTACACTATAAAAAATATTATAATAAAAACGCATTTCAGATTTTACTAAAGTTAAAAGGTACGTACACACTGCTCGTTAATTTTTGAGCTCATGAAACCACAGCAATAATTGAATACACGTTCCATTCCCCAAATATATGCATCTTTTGGATTCATTCTATTATAGTTTCTGAGAAAATTACTAAAATGTGAAGACACTGCTTAATTTATTTACAGTCAAACTGGTGTAACCGTACCATTTCTTACTTGAGTATGCCATTAAAATATACGAGTATTTTAATAGATACGCACAATCTTCACTTTTTGCACTTTCCTTAAATTGCATCTTATTTAGCAAATCTAAACAGATGTAGGACAAATGAACAAAAATAGTTGCTAGAATATAAAATAGTACTGCTCATAACCACACGCATAGACGTAAAACAAGTGCATAACAACCGAAAAAAAAACAACAAAGAAAAACAAAAAAAAAAGTAAAGAAGTGTTGAGTTGTTCCACTCCGATTCTGAATTAAAAATACGAGTGCCCCTAATGTTTCTCGTGTTTCTGAGAAAAAAACAAAAATTGGGACGGCTGTGTTATATAAATACGAGCATGTATTTAAAAGAAGAAGAAAAAAATATGAGTGGAAGTAAAAGACGAAAAGAGCAATTTCGGCTTCTCGTCACCATCCGTGTTATGATTCTGCGGCAGCCGTTTTTAATATCCGGGTCGTCCTGCAATATTTTTAGATCATCGGAAATTGCTTTTGGAACATAAACAAATGAATATAAACCATGCGAAACCTTCGTTATCTTCGCTTTTTTTTTCTAGTTGTCAAGGTTACAATACATATCTTAACCATCGATCAGAACAGAAAGCGGACAACTGTTCCAATTAATTTTGTCTTCGGGAATTGTAGGTGTGTGGGAGATGTTGGATTCGATACATGCCGGGTGAAAGGATAAACTTTCTGAGTCAATTGCATGCAACAGGGATCCTGGTTGGACGTGAAAAATGATTGTGTGCTCCATACAACAGGACGAAATAAAGAAATAAAGCGAGTGATGAGGTCACGTCGCACGAAAATGAAAAGGCTGTAGACCTGGCTGACCTAATATGAGGAAAGCGAAATTGAGTCACGACCACGCAACGCAGAACAACAATTTGGCAATTTCTATTTTGTTGCTATCTCAGATGCAAATAGAGCTGTTCAAATGTTGCGTGGAGCAATACTTACTGTAACCGGGATCTGTTTACTGACAACAAATTGGCATTTATCCATCGATGTTCCATTGGAGTGATCCGGCACAGCGACTTTTTTTTTGCTCTCCCGAAGATGCTACTCCTCCAGTTTATTTTAGTTATGAGTATGTGGAACGGACATATTTAAATAAGCAGATTGCTTGCACCGCGGTCTTGTTAACCTTTAGAGACGGTGACCATCGACGTTCTCTGAGTTAGGAAACTTGAACAAAATCAATATTTTTACTTACATCATTAACTCTATTCCTATTTAATAACTACTATTCAACTTTATTGTTCATTTTCAATTTATTTCACATCAAATTTTTGACAGATATTTTCAATTCAAATCTTCAAGAGTAAATAATTGAAAATATTGGCTTAGATATAAGTCGTTACCAATTATCTATGTATTTTTCACATTGTCTGTGACGCCATCTATATTTGAAATTAGGAATTAACAATTTACTATACTTAACCTGAGACTGATTAGATATAAACTGACTAAATCAGACTTGTAGAAGAGCATGATGAAAAAGAAAGACTACTTCATAGTTAAGCAATGATAGTCGCAGGTTGTTCTCCAATTGGTGATATATAGATTAATACTAATATAAAAGTGTCGTAATAATAGTCTTTACCACTTATAATAATATGTACAAATTAAATCGGAACAAATAATGATGCTCAAAAAATATTAAATTAGTAGTTATTGATAAATTTATCTTTTTATTAGTACTTTGCTCAACTATACAAACAATTATTGAACAATTCCTGAAGGTATCTATATAATAATTTTTATGTTTTGTTAGTTTCGAGGTCACAATAACAACTATCATTTAATGGCCTACTCTACTAATAGTATTGCTCATAAAGTATCAGAATAACTTCGTCGAAATGACTCATTTTCAAGCGATCCCAACGTTGTAATGTATCTATAAAAATGTGTCTTATATCTTAATGAAATCATTGAATTGTATGTTAGTTTTCATATAATATATACGATTTGTTACTGATACAAATATTACTAATAGAAATTTCAACTCGCTTTGAAATCTGAGAAATAATTAGATTAAAAGTAATTATGTTTATATTACAGACATATGTTTTTTAGCATGTATTATTTACATAAGTCTGAAATGAACAAGAATCAGTGAAAATATGAAATTGAAGTAACAAACCCATATTTTCTCGTTGGTTATGCACTTATTGAAATACTCTAATAAACATTATAATGCTTGCATCTAAATATACATGTAAAATCAATAAAAAAAACACTAATTCTCAGTTATTATTTATATTGTAGTTTAGATTTATTTAATTCCTCGATTAGTCCGGATTCAAACAGTACGAAACTGATTACCAGTACTATTTAAATAATAATTTTTCTATCCAACAAATATTTATTATCAAAAAACCTTTGACAGTAGTTCGAAGAAAATATTTTTTATCAATAACATTATATTATCAATAAAAATTGTTATTTGTATTATTTATATGTAGGTGTTCGGCAATATTCATGCTTGGAGATTGCGATCTGAAAAATTGATTTGTATTGTTGAACTTTCAATAACTGTAATTGAATCTGAAAGGCACGATGCGAAGGGGAGGTTTGGCATTATATATGTATGTGTTTCGATTTGTTGCTTACAGTTATTCTGAATAGAAATGTCATTTTACGTTTGAATGTTGGAAATATAGTCCTTTGATAAATTCTATTTGCTATTTTATATATTTATTCATCAATTTAATCAACTGAACTTCTATTATATAAAATAACTAGATAAAGTACATAAACATAACAATATCTTCTTTACTAGATTACATTATTACTAAAAATTAAAAATGTCATATAAATACCTGAGGATTTCAATGTTATAATAGTGGTTATAAAATGTTATAATTGAGATTGCAATGAGGACTACTAAATATTGCAGTTATAATGGACTTGAGGTTGCTACAGGAACTACTAGATGTTAAAGTAATAATATAGATTTGAGTTTATGTTATTGGAGATTGGATACAACAATACCTTCTATATTGGTAACATGATTTATGTACCAAATTTATATGCAGCTTGAGAAATATTGCAAGTTTTATATAAACACAAAAAGATTTGAATGTTAGAATAGTGGTTATAAAATGTTATACTTGAGGTTGCAATGAGGACTACTAAATGTTGAAGTTATAATGAACTTGAGATTGATTGGCGTAATCAACGAAGCATATTGATATAACTCTTGGTGACAATCTATTTGAGTATATATCTAATTATATAGTACATGGTTTCAATGATTGGCTGAGATTGCGTCTGCTGTGGTTGTGTCCAGTCCATGCGGCAAAACAATGCCGGATATTTGATCCGTTTATAGCTAGTGGTTCTGAAATGCATTTCATGGTTTTCGACACGTATCGTCTGCGAATTGTGACGGCAACATCGGCCGTATTTAATAGCGGAAGTATATGGTTGCGATTCGCGCAGACCTGTTTATCGGAATTGTAAACAAACAGGAGCAGAAAGACCGACCCAGGTATATTCATCACATCCTCGCGGGAAGAAGAAGAACAAAAAAAGAGAGAAGACTTCTCAATGAATTATTTACTTTTCTCATTTTCATTTTCTACAAATCCAAAACGTTCTTTAACGA